AAAGTCTGAGCGACACTGCGAGTGATACAGACACAACAGCTCTTTTCAGAGCTACTCCACACCTCAGACATCTAACCTGCAGACCCCGGGTTGCATCCAATGGCCAGTGAAGCTGAACTCAAAGGAAGCTTCTAAACTTTGAGTCTCATGGTCTCGACGTCCGGTGAATCACCACTCGGACCACCATCCCTCTGGACCGCCGGGAGCAACACATACAAAAGAGTGTTGTATGTGTAATCGTATGTGTTTTAATGCATTATGGGAAACTTTGCCATCCCAAGTCTGCAGAAGGATGCATTGATGCATCCTTGATACAATGGGCATAGCAAGAACACGTCTGGGAACTTTGAGTGAATTTGCCATTATGCATACTTTAACAGTCTTTGGGTCATCGCTGATGATGTTTCACAAGGACAAGAGTACACAAGTTCAGACAAGTATGCATATTGACAAACGGCCCATGCCATTCCAGGATTTTGCCCAAAGGAATGAGATGGATGGAGAAGAGTAGAGGCCCAAGGACAGAGCCTTGCGGCATACCCCAATGTAGCAGGAGACAGGGAGAGGTACATTCTCTGATCTGAATAGTGAAAAAACAGTTTGCTGGGGAACCATTCAAGAGCAGTTCCCACCAGCCCCACCCAAGACTCCAGTCGGTCCAGCAAATGTCAAGGTCAAGGTCAATTTTAATTATAGAGCACATTTACAGCAGCAACGCTACACCCAAATCGCTGTACAAGGTAAAACAAATCAAGAAACAACAGATCAACAATAAAAATCTAAAATAAGATGAGCACACAACAGTCACAATCTATAATAAAAACTGTTAAAAACTATTAAGATGCTCAAGTCAACCTGCATTAAAAGCCAAATCAAAAAAATGCATCTTAAGAAGGGATTTAAATGCTCTAGATTCTGTGTGGTCCTGATGTTGAGAGGTAGCTTGTTCCACAGTTTGGGACCAACCACAAAATGTGATGGTCAACTGTATCGAAAGCTGCTGAGAGATCTAACAAGAGTAGCAGTACCTTGAACCCAGAATTGATTTCAGCCAGTATGCCCTTAAATACTCCAATAAGGGCAGATTCAGCGCTGTTGTGTGGCCCAAAAGCAGACTGAAAGAAATCTGTTAGTGAACTGCTATCGATGCAAGTAGGGAGATGTAAGGATGAATTTCCAGAATCTTTTAAATGAAAAGAACGCTCAAGAAATATAACTGGTTTAAAATTCAGCTTTTATTATACAAAACAAAAGCTTTTAACGTTAGTTTGTGTTTTTTCTTATTTTACTTTTTTTTTTGCAGTTTTTCAAAATTAGCTTTAACCTTTTTTCTTCAGGCCTTTTTGATTGATTAACAAAATAAACTCAACTTGAAGTATATGAGGTTTCATTCTTTCATGTCTCATGTGACAATGACTATAAAGAATCACTGTATTCTTGTAAATAAGATTATAGTTTATATGACATGCACCCTCTGAACCAAATCTGCTCAGAGATCTGGAGGAGGAGGGGGAGAGAACAACGGGCACGCACATGCTAATCTTGCACCTAACGTGATCACTGACTGCTTCACTTTTCATATATTCTGTGTATAGCAAGAAGTATTCAGAATAATTAAAGAGCAAAGTGTGAGTAAAGGAGAAGAGCAAGTTTCAACAGAGAAATGGCTTCAGGGCAACTGGGGCAGACTGGGACTAACCAGGCAAGAAAAACAAAACGTCAAATGTGGAAACAGTCTCCTGGGGAATCTGTAGAACTTAGTGTCTTAGTTTTATGAACAGTTGGTTCTTTTAACATCACCAGCTGGAAAGTTCATCTATCCCAGACGGGTGTAACTTGAATTTAGAGAATAAATCCCAGCAGAGTGTTTATAATAACATGCTAATAATAAATAACAGTAATTGATTTTATTCTATTTAGCTGCTCTAAGATGACAAAGTTGGTGATTTTAATTCCATTAAAGGACCAGTTTGTAACAATTACTGCCATCTACTGGTCAGGTTGGGGATAACAACCATCTGAAACATAACTTTTTTTTCCTTTTAAGAAAAAAAAGTTGGTGTTTTTATTATTTTTGTTGCCTCTGTGTTTTATTAATTATCACATTGCATTTTAAGTATAGATTAAATAACATGACCATTTACGCCCCTTATATTATGTAGAATAATGTCTCTGGGAAGCAGAATATGGCATCGATCATCACAAATTCAATAATAATAAAACTTTTTAAGTAGTACCTAGATTCAATGCAACTTGAAAAAAAAATCACTGGGTGCCTTTTGTAAACTATTTTTCCTCACAAACAAGAAGTTTAAAGATTCTGCTTCTTAATTAAGCCCAAATAACAAAGTCATGCAGATTGAAGGGTATGAATTACTGCTGTTTATACAAATATGGTTGCATGAAGACAGACATCTCTGACAGATGCCATGCCACTTAGATTTCATTTCCTGTAAAAACTGGAAGTGGAAGGAACATTTTAAGACTTTCTAGATCATGACTTACAAAAACCGTTAAAGCAGATAAACCCGAAGTGATATCTAATGGAAATACATTCAAAAACATTAGTTGGAAATCAGAGCATGAAGTCAGATTCTCTCATTTTAAAAAGCACCAAACAATTTCCTAAACGTTCATCAAATCAATTAGAGTTGAGGAAAAACATTCTCGAATTTTATTTTAGCAAACAGATGTTAACATTCTGCTACTCAGGCTATGAAACAAAAAAGAAGAAAATAGATGTGATGATAATCTGGATAATCTGTGGATTATAAATAGGTTCTGGGTTCATTACGAGGACACTGCTGGTTTACACTCACAGATAAGGGTCTGACCTTGACTGATCACCTATATAAACATTCATTTTCAGAAATCAATAGGGACTCCTTGTCCATTCTAACTGTAACTTCACATTTCTGTGTCCCTGGCAGATTTGAGCTTTGTGAGTGTTATTTTGGGGTGATTTCTGGTCATTTTTCTAAATATAATAGGAATTGTATATCTAACATTTCAGAAACTGTATGCACGTAGTCACATAAGGAATTTTAAACTATTTCCTTTTCACATAATAATAAGAATACATTTTATTTGAAGCACCTTTCTAAAAACTCATGGCCACTATTCAGTAAAAGAAAATAAAACATTCAAACAAGCACAACAGTAAAAAAAAACTAGTCCATTTAAAACCACGTAAGGGAATAGGCAATCTTGAACAGGTAACATTTGAGTTTGGCCTTGATGTGGTCCAGGTTAGTGGTATTTCTGAGATCAGCTGGTAATGACTTCCACAGGGCGGGAGAGGTGTAAATGTAACAAGTGTTCTAAATGTAAGAAACGTAAGCTAAGTATCAAAAAGAATGGTTTGCTAAATGTTTTGAATTATCAATTTACACTTGTCGTCCCGTATGAACTGGTGTGAACACACCCATGATGCCCAGCAAGTTAGAGCAATTGGTACTTGTTAGTGACTGCAACCTGAAGTTGAACACAACATCAACAGAAGTGACCGAAGGAGAAACATGTTTATCAGAATGATCTGCAAGGCTTAGGGGATACTAGCTTGTCCACATTCAAACATGCTCAAGTGATGTATGAAATTATCCTATGCTATTTTTATTTTTATTGCCATGGTGTGTAACATTTTTGTGTTTACATTTGCAAAAACAGCAGCTAATTGTAGCAAACTTTACAACTAAATTGGCCATGTTGAGTTTGATTAGGAAAATAGAGGAAAATGGTTATGTTTCATAAATATGACTCATGCTATCAGCTGAAAATTAGTGAGTTAAATCGGTATCTGGTTGTTAATGTAGACATACATCAATGCATTTGTGTTGCAGATAAAATTATTAGCTGAAAGGGCCAGCATCATGCTATTTTACACCTTCCAGAGCAACGGTAGGAACAGTATGATAAAATGTTACCATTGACACTACTGAAATTTCTTTTTTTACAAATTAAAATCATTTTGGTTACCCATTATGTCTGCACAAAACTAAAATGCCTGGATTTCATGAAACCCTGCCTCCCCATGCAGATTCCACAATAGGTTACAGCTGCAGACACAGAGGCAGCAGATTGATGATTCCTGCCGATTCACAGTCATGCCCCCCCCCCCCCCCCCCCCCCCACACACACACACACACACACAATTTTTGGGTTCTATGTATTATTTAAGGTGCAGACTAGATAAGAAAGAAATGGCTTCTTCACAACTGAGGAAATTAAACTCCCTGCTATCTACATGGAGAGACTGGGTGTTAGTGTTTACAGTCCAGGGAAGGACGGATCTAGATTATTGTCTACCTAGATAGAGAAAAGCAGGTTGTGATGATGCAGCAACAACCCCATCTGTCTGCAGTGAGTTGGAGCACACCAGCTAGGCTTTGCAACTGAGACAGGAAAATGTAAATGTGAAACTAAAAATCAAATCCACAAGAAAGTAACAAAATAATATAGTCAAAAGCTCCAAAAGTGGATTTTGAATGGACTTTTAAATAATAATAATAATAATAATAATAATAATAATAATAATAATGCATTGAACTTATATAGCGCTTTTCTAGACACCCAAAGATGCTTTAACACACTCTCACATTCACACACTGCTAGTGATGGTAAGCTACTTGTAGCCACAGCCGCCCTGGGGAGGTCTGACCGAGGCGAGGCTGCCATTTGGCGCCGTCGGCCCCTCTGACCACCACTAACACAGGCAAGTTGGGTGAAGTGTCTTGCCCAAGGACACACCAGCAGGATACCTCTGGCGGGAGCTGGACTCGAACCCATGATGCTCCAATCATAAGGCAACCCGCTCTACCACCTGAGCTACTGCTGCCCCAAATAAAGATCCAAATCTAACTTTCTTGTGTATTCCATGTTTTATCCAGTAATATCCTTATTAAACATTGATCTTACGATTATTTTAAGCGTGTTATGAAACCATAGATCATTGATTGCTGCTAAATGTGGTTTATTTTTAGATTTAACAAATGAAGACTTACCATAAATCACTTGATGGTCAAGAACTTTTGTGTCATCCTGCTCAATTTTCTGACTACATCTACCTGAACCCTGGATGAGCTGCTGCAGAGGGAACTCAGCATCCATGTCGGGGGTGCACTTGAGGCCTATGGAGCACCTCGGTGTGTAGACCCCACACGGCTCACCCTCCAGCCTGGCACACACTGGGCAGCAGCCGCAGCCCGGCTCTCTCACCACCTCTGGACATTCTTGGGGGACGTTGAGACACAAAAGGTTGTCGTCTGCTGTGCAGCTAGGACACCGGAAAACTAAATCCCCCAGTGAAAGTCCAGGTAAGGAAAACAATCCAAACAAAATGAAATATACAATCATTGTAGCGTTTGGTGTATTTACTACTGAAGGTAAAAATGACCCTTGGAAGATGAACCTCAGGAGTCGACTCTTTTAGGTAAACATTATGACAGGGTCCTAGCTGCTGACATGTCACAGGCTGATGCAGAAGCAACAGGTCCTCAAACTGTAAAAACCAAAACATTTATTAGACTGTATGTCTCAGACCAAATAATAAAAGTAAAAACATTAAATCTAAATATTAGTGTTAAATCTAAATATGTTCAATTTACTGAATGAAAATGTTATTTTACATGAAAATCTTTATACATTTCAACTGTTTTAACACATTAATACATAAAGTTCAGTAAATATAAACATATAATATTGAATCTAAATAGTTGGAATACATTTTAAATATAAAAAGATACATTTTAAAATCTAA